CATCATCACCAAGCCCTTATTATGTGTGGGGCTTACCTAAAGAAAGGGACTTACCTAAGAAAAAACAATGATCAAAAATATGAACAGTTAAATTACAACAAACTCACAACTGTCAACAACTGAACCCCCAAAACAAAAACAAACTAAGCAAACAACTAGAACAGGAACAAAATCACAGAAATGGAGATCACATGGAGGGTTATCAGCAGGAAGGGGGAAGAGGTAAAGGTACAGGGAATAAGAAGGATAAATGGTAGGTAGAAAATGGACAGGGGGAAGTTAAGAATAGTATAGGGTATGTAGAAACCAAAGAACTTATGTGTACAACCCATGGACATGAACTAAGGGGGAGGAATATAGGTGGGAGGGGAGGTGCAGGGCAGAGAGAAATTAAAAGGGGGAAAATGGGACAACTGTAATAGCATAATTAATAGAATATATTTTACAAATTTACTAGTTGTGCCAACGGGTAAAAGTTAACATGTCTATTTCTACTCTGCATGTCTATGCAGAGTAGAAAGTGCATGCCAACCAACATTATCTGGGGATACTTTCTCAAAACAAGATGTTTCCTCACTCCTCTACTGTTAAGAACCACTGGATTAGGCCCCTCCCTGAAAAGATGATGTAAGGTCCTGGCTGAATGGCTTGGTTGGTCGGAATATCATCCCATACTCCAAAAGGCTATGGGTTTGATTCCTGGTCAGGGCACTTGCCTAGGTTGCTTGTTCGATCAATGGGAGGCAGCTGATCAATGTTTCTCTCACACTGATGTCTCTCTCCTTTCCTCTCTCTCTAAAAATCAATTAAAAAAATCCTTAGGTGAGTATTAAAAAAAAAGATGACATAAGAAAATGAGTAATAAACATTATAAGGTGAGTGGAAGTAGTTTGAGCTAGAATGTCCAGGATTATCCTTAACCTTTCAAAATTGATGCAGAATAGAAAGCCATGTTCTCTAATGAAATGCCTTTGACACTTCTGTCCAGTAAATAAGAGGGTGAAGGCATCCATCGTCTAAATCAAAACAAAAAGGCTCATGTTCTGATAACATGGGTGAATTCAGTGACTCTTTCTCCCAGACCTTTCCTTTCTGAGACATCCAGAAATATTTTAAAAAGAAACTACCTTACAGTCGCTTAAAATGCATAATTATTATACCATATCTGTGGTTTTATGATTATTCATACTGTACCAAAATCACACTCACTCTGTGCTACATACCATATTTAGCTGTATATAATGTGCACTTTTTTGCCCACATTTCTGAGGGGAAAATAAGGATATGCATTATACATGGGTACAATGAATACATAAGCCCATGTAAAATGCAGACAAAAAACATAGGCATGCAATATACATGACAAAATATAGTAATTTCACATCTGCTGGTAGTTGGTTTTCCTTTAAATCCTCACTGCAGGACATGCTTATTGTTTTTAGAGAGAGGGGAAGGAATGGAGGGAGAGAGGGAAACAAGGATGTGAGAGAGAAACATCCATCAGTTGCCTCTTGCATGTGCCCCAACCCAACCCAACCCGACCACAACTGCGGCACATGCCCTAACCAGAAATCAGGAATTGAACCTGCAACCTTTTGGCCCACAGGACAACACTCCAACCAGCTGGGCCACATCAACCAAGGCATTGCTGGTAGTTTTAAATTCAGCAGCCAACTCCGTATTTAGAAAGAAACACAGAATTCCTTTCTATTCTTTTATTTACTTGAGACTGGATCACTGATAAACCCCATATCCTCCAATCGTCGGAGGATAAGCGGACCAACAGCCCAAAGCCCCTTTGCTCCTCGGTGTGTGCTTCCTCTCAGCCACTTCTGCTCCTTTCAGTCCCCACCCCTCCTCCTGGACCTCTCTGGCATCATCGCTAACTTTCCCAGGGCAAGGTTAGAAAACAGATCAATTGGATTATTCAAAATGAACACAATACAGAGTAATTTTAATGTGTGATCCACATACTCCATAAGAAATCGAAATGATTTCAGTATTAAGCCATGGAGTGGGAAATTTTTAACAAAATAAGTATGTGGCTACTTCCATATGCTATGTATTTCAAGTCAGGTTAGGGCTGTGTTCTTTGTATTTTCAAGTTAGTTTTCAGTTGTCTAAAATGAACAATATTCTTTGGAGGCTTATTTTCCCCAACTTTCATTGTGAAAATATTTAAACATACAGAAAAGTCAAAAGACTGTACAGTGAACGTGCCAGTACCCATTCACCTAGACTCTGTTAATCACGTTGTTTTCCTTGCTTTATGTATCCATGTACTTATTTCTCTTTCACCTATTTTATTTGATACATTTCAAAGGAAGCTGCAGACATCGATACATTCATCCTCAAATACTTCAGCATGTGTATCATTAACTATAGTTCTGCATTTGTTTATGACTCTTTCTTTTGAGGCAAAATTTACATACAATGAAATGTAGAAATCTTAAGCCATCATTTGATTATTATTAGTTTTGCCAAGTACAAATGCTTTTGGAACCAAAACTTCTATTGACATGTAGACTATTACAATTACTCCAGAAATTTTCTTCATGCTTCTTCCAAGTCAATCTGCATCCCCTCCCAGCGGCTATGACTCTTACTTTTTTCCATCACAGTCTGTTCTAAGATTTCATATAAATGGAATCAAACAGTATGTACACTTTGTTGAAGGCATCTCAGCATGTTTTTAAGACTCATCCATGTTGCTGCATGTATTATTAGTGTTCCTTTTTATTTCTGAGAATTGTCTCAGTACACAAATTAACCATTTTTAAATCCCGTTTCCAGATGACACTTAGGCTGTTCTCAGTTTTTGCCTATCATAAATAAAGCCGCTACAAACATTCTTGTACCACACTCCCCCCAAAAAGAAAAGATAAAATGATAACTGCCCCAAAGAACAGCTGCGTTCCCCTTAGGATACATTAATCTGCATTCCTCTTTTCTTTGCAGGCACCCTTTGTGATCCGTTATTTTATGTCACCTTTTCCAGTACCTGTTTGGGAGGTACTGAAATGTATTTTTAAGGAAACTTCCTGGAATGCAATTTAAATACTATGGCTTAGTAGATACAGTCATGAGGAGTGGGTGGGGAGTCCTGTCCTATAAGAAACTGAATTGCTTAAGTGCATTTTGAAACTATATAGACTGCGGAGTGAAAATAACTTCTATTATTTATTGACTCACTGGTTTTCTTTCTGATACAGGTGATATTCACAAACTTATATTGACATCTCTTCTTTCCAGGGAAGCGGGCTGAATCAAAGTAACATTAGATCCCAGTAGCTTAAGTGTTTGTGACATTAACTTTACCAATTCCTATGATACTAAAATTCTCTCTTACACCTTCCAAAGGAGCTTCACAGTCTCTGTTCCCCCCTGCATTGCTGCGAACTGTCCCATCTCTCCCATTCCAGCTTGGGTTGTGCCACCTCAATCCCAGAGGTCTGCAACGTGGTCACCGAGCCTCCACGTCACCGTCCCTTAGCTCTGGTTTTGCCCCTTCACAAGAAGCACAAAGCACGCTCTTCACCGGATGGCTGTTTAAGAGCTCGAACACTGATTTACAACACTGGAAAAAGCCCACATGACTGGCCAATTTCTTAACTTTTTAGCTATAAAATACTTTTAGTTATTTTATTGAAATATTCTAATAACTGCCATGGAAATCATTTCTAAAATGCTTTTAAATCCAGAACTAAAGGTTCCATATCACAGATTATATTACTCTCATACATAACTCTTCTAAATGGTCATTTCATCTTCCAGAACTCCGTATCTCGGCAACCAGCAACCCAGTCCACCCACTTCTGCTCCCCCTCATCTTCGTGGCTAACCCAACACCAAGTTTCATCAGTTTTACTTCCTAATACTTCTCTCCAAGTCCACTGTCACCACCTTGGTTTAACATATTGTCCATCTCTGGTTTGGATTCCCACCAGTCTCCTAACTAGGCTCTTACATCACACTTGAACTCTGCAATCTGAGCTCCCCTTTCCATTGCCATCACCACACTCAGTGCCCTCCCTACCTTAAAACTGCCCCTCTGGAGGCCAAAAGGCCCTTCCCACCTTCCCAGTCTCATTCCATACCAAACTTCCTTTTTGTCCAAACCAAATTGGCTTTTCAGATTATTTAAATGTTCTTTTCCTTGGTTTAGGAAACAGCAGATCATTGCCTAATGCCACCTTTCTCGGGTCATTCTTCTCTGCCTCTCAGACTTACCCGGATCTCTCCCTACTCACCCCGCCCCCCCCCATTCATTTGTTGAGCTCAACGTTAGTGCCTAAAATTAAATTCTTCCAAAGTATAGTTTATCTTTCCCATACAGTATCACGATTATAATTTTGTGATTATCTTATTACTGGTTACTTCATCTGGCGGTAAGTTCTAAGAACAGGGGAAGAATCTGATTTATCCTTTACTGTTTTGCGCCTGGCACAATGAACAGCAGTTGATGTTCCTCGACTCTCCATTTTCTTGGACTGAGACCTTTCCTAAGATGAACTTGGAACTGCGACTTTAATAAAACTGATTTACTTCTCTCAGGTGTCTTAATGCCATGGGGCCGAGAAAATGATAAACGGGGGGGGGGGGGAGAAATCCCAAAATCACTTTACAAACTGCCCCCACGACGACCCCTTCAAAAGGTCTGGCTTTGCCAGCCCCTCCCGCCCAGGCGCAGAGCCCTGGCGCACAAAGGCCGGTCGTGCTACCCCCCGGGACACACCCGGTCACTGCGTCAGAGGCGACCGGGCCGACCCCGAAAAGGGGCGTAAGGACGCACGGCGAGCGCACGTACGTGCGCCTGAAGGGCCCGGTTTGAAGTTCAAGGCACTGTAAGGCCAGCGATGGGTCTAGGTGTTGCGACTGCGGCACAGTCGGGGAGCAGCTTGGGCCGGAAGGCTGCTTTGCAGCCTGTCCGGATCCCCGACGTCGCGGCGGAGCCTGCGAGGCCTCCCCTCGCTCAGCACAGCAGCATAGGTGGCACTGACCTTCCAGGGACACGTTCGAGCACAATGACGCCTTCTCTGCAGGCGTGTCCCTAAGACCACTTCCTCCCGATGCCCTTCCCCTCGGTCGCTAGTCGCTCGGCACACTTGGTCTTGGGGGTTCCCGCACTGGGGACGGCGACGGTCTTGCGGAAGGAACGGTAAACGCGCTCCTCCGCAGGACCTCTTCGCTTCCCGTAGAGGGCGGGGCTTCGGCCCGGGTCTTTTAAAGGTAAGTGACCTGGGGAGGAGCGTGTCTCTGGCTCTCCTAATAAATCCCTACGACAAAAATAATGTTTAAGGCGAGGTTTCTGCTGCGAGCTTGCTGGTCCATCGCCTGTCTCCTGTGTCTCCAGAAGTTGAATGAAGACTCGTGTGCTGAGTTTAAGTGGCAATCGGAGCTTCCCTTCTGTAGTTACATTACAATGACGTCAAGCTCGCTGTGGCTACACTCCCACTAGGGCTTTATAGAGAACTTTCACAAACGTATTTTGTATTTAATAATATTTAATAAACGTCTTTCTCATTATTTCGAGTCAGGGAGTACTGTCCCCGTTTTGCAGGCTAGCAAATAATTCAGGAAGTAAAAGGTTTTCCTTGTTTCGCAGTAACGCGCCACGGGCCAGCCAGATCCGAGAGCTGGGTCCCTGGAGACATGACAGAGTTGCAGTCGGGACTGTGCGTTCTACGGTGTAACTGGGAGAGCTTCCGACAAGCCAGCCATTTTACGAAGGGGAGAACTCAATAGTTTTCAACCTCTCGTGCAACCCAGTGCTCTGCTTTCTCACCTGCCTGTTTTGGGGTGCCCTTTCCCGGTCTCCGAGGCTTATGATTGCTGAGCCTTCTGTTGGACTATTGGGGTCAACCCTTGCCCTTCTCACGTCTTCAATAGGAATTTCCTCCATGGCAGAGTGAGAACATACAGTCGTAACTTGAAGCCACCTAGTTAGAGAATACTTTCATTTATCATACAAGAGGAAGTTACATTTATTGCATACTTGTAGTCCAGCAGAACACATTGCCTTAGTCTCATTAAATAATTTCATGAGTCAGGTATTACCTCTTTTATTACAGATGAGGAAACTAGTTCAGCCTTAAAAAACTCTGTGAGAGCAAAGACCAAGTGGAAGTGTCCTCATCAAGTCCACTGTGTTTCCTCATAAAGTCCTCAGTCTGGCACTGAATATTTTTTAAATAGTGAAATGGTAAACCCACAAACAACTCGTGTGGGTTTACCCAAAGTCCAAGGTTAATACAGGGTCCGTCAGAAGTAACGCCTACTTGAGTATGGTTGGGAGGGTAATAAGGCACAATGTGATAGGATTATGATTTGAATAAATCCACACTGAGGAATCATTGGTACCTGAGCCACCGACCAGCACCCCATTTGTGGCCTCACTTCGAAGGTGTGTGTGTCCAGAGTGAATTCAAAAAGAAGGAGGTGAGCAGAAAAGGGTGGGTGTCACAGGCATGTCTTCAGATAGAGAAGCTGGGTTTTTTTTAATTTCTTGAACTCTGCTTTGACCTATAACTGAAATAAGACCTGACAGCTTTATAGAGTCCCCGAGAGCCTTACTTTGAAGTCCCTTGAATAAAGATAATAAAGCAGTCAGCTGGCTCTTCTAAGACCCCTTCCTATATTTATGGCCTCTACGTGCTAAGGTGCACTTCTGGGTTTGGAGAAGTAGTATTACCATGTCACAAATCCTCTGTAAACTGTCTGATTCCATATGTGCACACAAGGGAACTCTCAGAAGTATATGGAACTTTCCCAATTGTTATGTTCCTATGTGTAAAAGTTATTAAAATACCAGGCTGTCTCCCTGTTACCACAGTAACTGCAACAGTTATTTGGAGAAGCTAATCTTATACTAGTCAAAACCCTCTGTTTATTTTGAAACTAAAGAGATGTGGCAAAGTGTGTGTAGGTTCAAATATTCAGCATATTCTTAAACAGTTGTGAATGAATTATAATTAGTTTATAGGACTGCCCTCCTCCATTAGATTGTAAACTGTGGTCAGGGCAGTTTTGCTAAAATAGGGGAATTGAAGTCTATTGTGTGTGAGATCTAATTACCACTAAACAAACTTCTACCTCTGCATTAGGGGATGCTTCTGATTGAATAAAATGAATCTCTAATTCTTCCTGTTTAACTCGGAAATGACCAACATGCAAATATTGTCCTTGGACTTTGGGTCACAGACACATGAGTTGTTTGTGGTTTTACCACTTCACTATTTCAAAAATATTCAGTGCCTAAAGTGCCAGACTTGGGAGTTGATGAGGAAACAGAGCGGACTTGTGAGGACACTTCCACTTGGTCTTTGCTCTCACAGAGCTTTTCAAGGCCAAACTAGTTTCCTCATCGGCAGTGCCAGCTAAACCTAGCCGAGGGCAGTTGTCTTAAGTGGCAGCAACTTTCTCATCACATAAGTGCCATTTTAATAACCAACTAATCTGTGCTCCTCTGAGTATATGTTTACATATGTGTCAAAGGGGCATAGAAAGCAAGGGGGGGGGGAATAACTCATCAAAACATCCCGAAGATACCCTCAGCCCAATACCCTGTGTCTGTTCTCATATCTGAAAGCTGGAAGCTACTTACCAGATCTCTACCATTTATCCTCAGGCAGAAGTATGCTTAATCCATTGCAAACATGTAAACATTTCTACACTGAAGAAGAACAAGGAGGAGGAGAAGGAGAGGAAGGGGAAGAAGGAAGAAGATAGAAGAGAGAAGAAAAAGAAACTGCAGGCAAGGTGATCTGACTTGTACCAGTAGCTCATTTAGTGTTTATAGGGACTTAGAAGATCTTTTCCTTTAAGTGACCTGATCCTCCTGTGGCTATTTATGCCGCTTCCCCAGAAGAGCTGGAGAACATGTGGTGACTACATCTGTGTTAAAACCCTTCACGTACTCTGAAATTATTTTTAGATTCAGAATACATTTTTTTCATGTGTAAGATTTCCCATAATATTAGACTCCTGATTAATCATTTCTCTTGTAACAAACTAATGTCACCAATTAATTAGAGCATGATGGTAGTTGTGAGTGAGCAAAATAAATTTGTCTAAAATGAATGATGTATTTTAAGGAATTTATTAAAAAGCTCTCCTGCCTGCTAAATAAAAGAGTGTTTGTATATGGGAGGCCCATTTATCTTCTGTGAAAATTCTCATGCAACTGAATGAAACAGAAAATAGGCTCAAAAGTCTCCTTCAGAAAAACAACAAAGCTTTGTGTTTTCATTTTAAAGTTTTGGGGGGATTCAGATCATTTTGGTCATTTTGAAATACTTAATGGAAATAGTTTGCTTTACCATCATGGAACGTCGTGCAGAAATATAAAGAGCTTGTCTAGGAAACATACAGAATGTACAATGTTTACTACTGTGTAAATCAAAGTAAAACAGAACCAAATTATTAATCAGCATTTTCTATTTTAAATAAAACCCAAGAATGTTTTTAAACATTCACATGAAAACTTTTAGCCCCAAGGATAGTTAAGGAAGGCAAATGTAATGTTAGCAATCAAACAGATTTGTACTTTTCAGTGTTTTCCATCTTCTAGGGAAATGGAATTGTAGGTAAATCGTTCCATTTGGGAAGGGTCCTCAAATGTGGAGTTTTTCATGCTCACTGTTTGGGGAAGACTTTCCACTGTACATTTCAGTCCTCATCGACTGCCTCCCCCACCTTCCCCTGAAGTTGCTGCAAAGCTTATAAAGGCTGTTTTGTTGGCAGCCTTGGACGCATCTGTGACCTTACCAAAGTGGAAGTGAAAGCTCTGTTTTTCTTCTTTCTTTCTTTTTTTTTTTTTGCAACAGTAAATCTACTAATTTTACAGTCAGTTGAACAGCAATGGATTAATTTGTTTAAAGTCTGTGTTCACAAAGAGAACCTGAACTTCAGTAGCTTGAATGCCTGACATGGCAGCCTGGTGGTTGAAGGGTAGACACTCACAACTTGCTCTGGAAGGAGGCCTGCGGTCCACTGTCACCTGCTCCTCTGCACAGGTGCTGACCCCGCGGTCGATTCCGGGCCTACTGATGGGGTAGCAGGAAGCCTGGGTCTTTGTGTGCAACAGAGAAGGCTTTTCCAAGGCCTGAGCCGGCTGTCTCCAGCAGCCACAGGAAGCAGAAGAAAGAAAAGGTTAAAGGCCACGGTGAGGGTCAGAATGGGTTAACTTTAGTTAACATCAGAGGTTATAGCTTTTAACAAGAGCTTCGACAAACTTCTTCGAAGATGCAATTTGTTTCTTCTTTGTCAACCATTTTTTTTACCCTATTGATAGTGACAGCTTCACAAAGTTTTTATATCCTTTAGAGAATAAAGAATCATGTTCTTAAAAAGATGTGCAGGTGGAGGACTTTATAAAGCTTCCATGATTTTTAAATTGGGAGCTTTAAAATAGACTCCATGCTTGGCTAAGTAAAAAATAATCTGTGAGGGATGCTGAAAAAATTCCCCGTGAAAGGGCTCTAACTTCTGGAAGCTTCTTTGTGTAGTTAGCTTTCAAACATTGTAGTGTAGTTTTCCCATTCATTATTCAAAATTACCAAAGAGCCTTCTTCCTAAGTTTCCATACTTGGATTTCTTTACATTCAGAGTGTGATGCTGGGTAGAACCCAGTATTGCATTTCAATGTTTATTGCATTTCTATGTAAGCAAAAGAGACGGCCATAGACTTCCGTATATGTCTTCATGCTCTTACCCTGGTGTGACCCCCTGCTTTCTGTTAAAGGACTAAACTGTGCTGCATGGCCCAAACTGTCAAGGATTTTGAATTTGTAATTCTACTTTTTATAGATTTTCTTACTCCTCTCTTGCCATTATACTGTCAGCTACCCCTTCTTGTTGCTGTCATTGCCCACCTAGCTTTAAGAGTACTCCCCCACTTTTCAAGTTCTACTCAATGTCAAATTCAATGCCACCTGGCCTAATGTAGAGGTTGAAGGGGGCTCTTAGCTTTTCACCTCACCTTACTCCAAATCAGCCCACACACACAGCCAGGGTAACCTTATTTAACTAGAGGCCCACAATTCACACCATTTCCTTGCTAAAAAACTTCTGGCGATTTCCACGGCCTGCCAGCTGCATTGCTTATGATTTTCCACTGTAGTGTGTATCACCCTCTGTAGTTCTCAGTAGCCTATTGTATTGGACAAGTCAGTCACTTTGCCTGCTCTGCCCTGGCCCCTTTCTCAGGCTGTGCTCCTGTTGGTGGGCCCTGGAAGGGGAGTCCTGCAATCCCGAGGTCCTGCCCCTGCACTGTCTTCCTGTTCACAGCTGGATGGCCAGGGTGGCGGCCTCACCAACAGGAGTCAGTCTGCAGGATGTAACAACTTGCGAACTCAAGATGGGAGGTTTGCTGGGTGTCCAAGGGTACTTGTGGCAGAGATACTACTTGGAAGTACACACTTCTCTTTGCCAGATTTTAGCTGAGCACGTAGCTTCCCAGAATAAAGACAGTATGTGCAGCCTCCCTAATAGATAAGTGTGGCCATTTGACCGAGTTCTGGCCAGTGAAATACATGTTTATACACATAAGTAAATGATTCCAAGTAGGTTCTGGGGGGATCTTAGTTTACATCTAAATTATTAACAGCATTCTCTCATTCCCACAAGGGTTCCAGTTCAGATGGCGTTTACAGTCACCGTAAATGAGCAGATAGGTGCACTTCCAGAAAGTTCTCTTAGAAGGAGAATGTGCTCTCCTCCCCTTCTCCCACTCTGCTGACTAAAAGGTGGGTGTGGCAGCTGGAGTCTGGATGGCACCTGGAGCAGGAGCAGAGTGCGGAGTGGAAATCCTGCTTTGTAGGGCCCTCAGGCCGGAGCGCGGGTCCTCACACCACCGCCCACCATGCCCGCGGTTCTTGATTGTGAGAGAAAAACAAGCTTTTATTTTCAGCTGGACCGGCTCCTCACCAACAAAGTACTTGAACTAAAAAGTCTTATAAAGTTGTTTATTTCACTGTGTAAGCAGCGCCATGTGCACTCAAGTTCACGCCGCGGGGGTGGCTCGGTCTGCAGGGAGAGTGAAACAGACGTGCAGAAGGACAAGAGACTGTGAGGCCCTGTGAGAAATGGGAGGGTAGGACCTTCATTTCTAACTTCCTATTCCAGACCCCATGGGTCCTCTGGTCTTCATTTTCTGATGATGACTTACTGTTCCTCGCCACCACACGTCTTCACAGCTGTAACCCTCTTTTCGCCCACAGCTGCTGAGCAGGCAGAGGACTGACTACCTGCTGATCCCTAACCGCATTTCATGCTTCTCTGCCTCTGTGCATGTTCGTGCCCCACGTGCTGTGTGGAATCCAGAGCCATCTCTCAAGCTCTGGCTCAAGTGCCACCTCTTCCATGAAGCCCCCCTTGGCCCGACTGGATGAGTTTTTCTCTCCCTTGGATCGCTGTCATTTTACGTGTGCTTATTCTGTGTCATTTCTTTTTTTCCCATCTCCTAGTTAAGTCACTTGAATATTTGGCCCGTCCTGCCCTCTGCACTGGCAGCACCTTAAAGACGCACCGTGCCTTTCCTGCTTTTTCCCTTTTCCTGGTTTTGCGTCTTGTGCGTGGCCTCTAGCAGCCTGCCTGCGGCCTGCTTCGCCAGCCTACAGTGAGCATTTGCTGAACAGTTGTGGGCTGTAAAATGCACAACTAAGCCTTTGCAACTGGTCTCTGAAACAAGAGAAAGCAGCCTTTCTTTGAATTAAGTGTGTGTACTTCAGTGCTGGACTTTGTGTCTTACAGAGGCTTCCCTTGACTTTTTGCTCAGGGCTGAGAGTACTTACTTAGAGCCCACTAGGTAATTTGTTACAGTTTTAGGAGAAATCTTTCTAAGTTACAAGTTCAGCATCTTTTGTTGAAACAAATTTCTATGCTAAGTAGCATGTTTACTACTTTAGTAATTTATAATTACTGAATCAAAAGCACAGGAAGTCTAAATGACTTATGAGAAATTAAAGAGAGTCTGTGTCTCATAAAGGAGCGATGACGAGCTCTTTGGGTTTCCTCGTGTTAATTGCTACACACAGGCTCCCCAGCTGCAGCCTGCACTCAGCTGACCGTCACCACCGTGGTCAGAAGGATTAGTAAGTGACCACATGCGTCCCACTGGATGGCCTCACTGCCTCCATGACAGGAAGTTCACACACAGCACAGGAGAAAACCAGTCCAAACACTTCTTTAATTTTTTGTACATCATTGATTGGTTTTTGTGACTGACTTGGTCAAATGTTTTGGTTTTAATACTCATTGTAAAAAAAAAACAACCCCAGACATTATAAACTGTAAAACAGATCTCTGTGTGATTATAGCTGCAACTTCAAGTTATTAGTATGAGAGCAAGTAACAGAGTGACGTGGGCTAATACAGGGAAATTACGTGTGCCTGCTGCCATGACGCGTTATTTATAGGCTGTAATTGGTAGGTGTTGGCAATTTATAGCGCCCTCCTTCACACTGAGCCATCATGACGCACTTGTGTGGGTAGGTTCTTATATTAATAGTTTAGTCATAAAAGTTGCTACTGATTTTACTTAATGTTATTTGTTATGAATTAGCAGGGATTTAAAGTTATTCTTTTTTATAATTGGCCTCTAGCTCACTTGCTTTCTTGAATGGGGACCGAGCTGCTGAGTTATAGCAAACATAACAGGGGCTACACTTTACCCAAAATCTGGTTGGGCCAGGCCATCGTGAGTATGGCCAGAGGGCTTGATAGTGAACTCCATCAGGCAAAGGCAATGGCGTAGACAAAAGGACAAAACACAGAAACACATTTCTACTGTTACTGTAACAAAGTCAGAGAAGGAAACTAGGACAAGGAAGAGCTCTGCGTCTGGGGACAGGTCTGGAGAGCTGCGTGGCTGACCGCCGCTGCCCGGCGAGGTTCAGCAATGGGCATGCAGACCTAGAGCCCACGGCGGGTCAGCTGGTTAGGCCGCTGTGTGTCTTTGGTGAAGCTCCTCTTTGTAAACCTCTGTTTCATCACCTGTTACTTGGGGATAACGAAAGCTTGTTCCACATGAACTTGTTAGCATTTAAAAAATACACATAGACATACAAACACACTCAGTTCATCATGCATAGAAGTGCTTCACAAATGTTAGCTCTTCAAGAAATC